AAACTGATTTGATTTTAGACACTTAAGGTCCAGAATTTCCAGAAAGCATAAGGTGTTATACTTTACTAATAAGGTGCTATACTTTGTCAATAAAGTGCTATATTTTACAATATAGTGCTATACTTTGGCCAAAAGGTGCTATACTTTCCCATAAGGTGCTATACTTTGCCCAGAAGCTTCAAAATTGCGTGAGGACCCCCGTCACGGTGGATGATTGGTCAATAAACACGTCACGTAGGTCGTCGAGAGGTTTCGTCGTGACGAAAAAAACTGATTTGATTTTAGACACTTAAGGTGCAGAATTTCCAGAAAGCATAAGGTGCTATACTTTGCCAATAAGGTGCTATACTTTTCCAATAAAGTGCTATACTTTGCCATAGAGTGCTATACTTTGGCCAAAAGGTGCTATACTTTCCCATAAGGTGCTATACTTTGCTCAGAAGCTTCAAATTTGCTCGAGGACCCCCCGTCACAGTGGATGATTGGTCAATAAACACGTCACGTAGGTCGTCACGTCACGTAGGTCGTCGAGAGGTTTTATCACGGCGAAAAAACTGATTTGATTTTAGACACTTAAGGTACAGAACTTCTAGAAAGCATAAGGTGCTATACTTTGCCAATAAGGTGCTATACTTTGTTAATAAAGTGCTATACTTTACAATATAGTGCTATACTTTGGCCAAAAGGTGCTATACTTTCCCATAATGTGCTATACTTTGCCCAGAAGCTTCAAAATTGCGCGAGGACCCCCCGTCGTGGTGGATGATTGGTCAATAAACACATCACCTAGGTCGTCGAGTGGTTTCATCGCGGCGAAAAAACTGATTTGATTTAAGACACTTAAGGTGCAGAATTTGCAGAAAGCATAAGGTGCTATACTTTGCCAATAAGGTGCTATATTTTCCCAATAAAGTGCTATACTTTGTAATATAGTGCTATACTTTAGCCAAAAGGTGCTATACTTTCACATAAGGTGCTATACTTTCCCATAAGGTGCTATACTTTGCCCAGAAGCTTCAAAATTGTGCAAGGACCCCCCGTCGCGGTGGATGATTGGTCAATAAACACGTCACGTAGGTCGTCGAGAGGTTTCGTCACGGCGAAAAAAACTGATTTGATTTTAGACAATTAAGGTGCAGAATTTTCAGAAAGCATAAGGTGCTATACTTTACCAATAAGGTGCTATACTTTGCTAATAAAGTGCTATACTTTACAATATAGTGCTATACTTTGGCCAAAAGGTGCTATACTTTCCCATAAGGTGCTATACTTTGCCCAGAAGCTTCAAAATTGCACGAGGATCCCCCGTCACGGTGGATTATTGGTCAATAAACACGTCACATAGGTCGTCGAGAGGTTTCTTCACGGCGAAAAAAACTGATTTGATTTTAGACAATTAAGGTGCAGAATTTTCAGAAAGCATAAGGTGCTATACTTTGCCAATAAGGTGCGATACTTTTCCAATAAAGTGCTATACTTTGCAATATAGTGCTATACTTTGGCCAAAAGGTTGGAAATAATCCAAAATCACCACTATCGAAACGTTGTATACATTTCTACTAGATACATTTCTACTAGTTACACTGATAAATTTGATACAACATGATACATTGGATAGTGCATTTGATACAATATGCACACAAATCATCTATATATACATAATATAGAAAATTTCATACAACACGATACATTGGATACTACTTGGTACATCATATTGCAGGCTGTAGTTGATTTGCCGTTTGGGTTGCAATGTGACAGCAATGCGAAGATCTGATCGAATGCCAATAGTGGGGGATTCTCTCATGTATTTGATTGGAAAGTTAGTGTGCATTGACGAATGGTTTCTGATTGAGGGGTAGCTGTGCGTTACGTTAGGTGTGCCATTGATGATGGAATATATGTATCCCACCATAAAAATGTTACAATCTACGCTCCTGCACAAATAAATGTCACAATCAATGATTGCATGATAAGAAAATTTTATTAACTGTCAATTCTAACTTATCGTGCATTTCCAAAGCAAAATACATGAAAGTAATATCGAGAAATGCTAGCATAAGAGGCTTCATACCACTTTCAAAGGAATCATCTATAAGCTTTTATGCAATATCAATTCTAACTTATCGTGCATTTCCAAATCAAAATACATGAAAGTAATATCGATTTTGATGTCGTAATGCTTCGAATTATCAAAACCCACAAGAACAATAAGAATCTGAAGGACCACCAAGCAATAAGAAAATTAGAATTTTTATGTTACAACTCGTCACCATTCCCAACACCAACAAGTAAGAATAATCACCTAGTAACTTTGTACGCTTGCAAAAAGAGGGAGGATTTTCACATCAATCATCAACTCTAAGGAAAATTCTATTCATAAATGCAAGCAAGAACTATAGTTCTAATTTTAAAACATAATGTCCAGAGAGGAACCATAGTTATGTAAGTCATGGTTGATATCTCATGAATGTACATATCTTATGAGCAATTGAGCATCAAGTAAAGGTTACCTTCACTTTTCCAATAGCTTTTTGGCATCAGCGTTATTTTTGAAGCGATCACGGACAGACTGCAAGTTGTAGGTTCATGAGATTTTAGAATGACAGAACAATAAATTAGAATTTGAGTAACCAACAATCATCAAAATCAAATATTGATAAGAGAGACAAGCTGACAACTTGCAGTGTTGGGAGCTGTCAGGAAATGTGAAATTGAGAGTTTCGAGAAGGAAGCTTCTGAGATGAACAAGAGGTCATTCAAGTATGCATGGGTTCTTGACAAGCTCAAGGCCGAGAGGGAAAGAAGCAGCTCCTTACAAAGCCAGGCGGTCTTCGACCTCCGCCATTACTCCGAGTGCTCCTCAAGCTCCGTCCACTGGCGGCAATGACAAGTGCTTCAGGTTGATGGGCGAACTACAGGGAGTCAATGTCGAAATCATTGGTGGGCTATTCATCTACTTCAAGGTCGACGGTGGTGGGTGACGTGGCGGCGAGGGGAGATAGGGGCAGTGGATGCAGAGGTTGATGGGCTTGAGGGAGGAGGGGAAGTGAAGGGAGGGAAGAGGAGGAGGTTGGTGGTAGTGGTTGAGGGGAAGTGAAGGGAGGGAAGAGGAGGAGGTTGGTGGTAGTGGTTGAGGGGAAGTGAAGGGAGGGAAGAGGAGGAGGAGGGGAGAGGGAGAGATCAGTTGGGGATGAAGGATAGTTTAGGATTTTTTAAATTTTTTGGATAAATACAGTACAAATAATGGGTGTATTGTACATTTGGGTTTAAAAATAAGTGGGATGTGATATAGTGGGTCTATTGATGTTTTGAAAAGTGAATGGGTTTTTAAATAAGTTGGGGTAAAACTTTAGGTTAAAAGAGGATTTTCCCATATTATATTCGATCTATATCCAATCTGTTCGCACTTGTAGTCATGACGATGAAATTAGGTATCCTAGTCAACCCGATATTTATCACCACTGGACGAGCACCAAGTCTACTTGAGCCACTTGCAAGACTGCACCTAGCCAAATTATATCCACACTCCACCACATTTGGCTCAAGAATTGACGCTTCAAACCATCACACAGCTGGTCATCATCTTCGAGCCTCCACCTCTAATTGCCATCTCACCTGGCAACTCTACTTGATCCTCACTCCATCATTGAAATCTCGTACGTACCAAGTTGCACTTCTATTGTTCTTCATGTCCCACATTATAAGGTACATAACTACCAAACAAAAGCTGCAAAGATTCTAACTCCTAAGATTGTGATCTCTCTTGCTCCTCCATCGACGCTAAAGAGAAAAGGAGGGCATGAGCAGCCTTGGCTTTCATCTTCGGTGCATCTATACATAACAAAAACTGATGGTTGTTTGTTTGGAAGCTTGCAGAGGATAAAGCTATAGCTTACTTTCCCTGCACACTCTAGTTGCATGTGATAATAGAAAGAGGAGGAGGGAAAAAAAGGGATCAATCAGCATTCACACCTGAAGCGCCCATTTTCTCAGCACTTATTAGCTAGCAAAAGGTAAAACCAAATTTACAAAGGGGATAGTGAATGAGTACTTGATGAAGTCCACCTGCTACGATGTGACAAACAAAATGAAAGTTACCGATATCTTTGTAGCTAATTTAGAAAAATGAATTTTCGCCTGATGTCCATTTTTCCAACTACAAAAGGTTTTGTTCGAGTTGCATGTAATAAATAGCTGCATTTGGCAACTCTTCAAAATGGGGCTAGGTTCGATCTGGCCTCATTTTCAAGAAAATATTCTATTTAGGTAAAACTATATATCTCAAGACTGGCTCAGTTTTTCTAAGGCCAAATCTGACCTTTAAACTAGTTATGTTTGGATGTCTTTCCCTTGATAAAAAAAACAAAACAAAGCTAGTTTTGCTTAAAACAGAAATGTGACTAAGTTTAGTCTCGGCCCAATTTTAGGTGGTCGTCAAACACACCCTATAAGTGTCAAAAAACAAGGCAAAAAATGCATGTATACAGTATACTGTTGACGCGTATTGCACGAGGAAAAATACATGAAAATAACATTTTGAACTTTTGAAGC